TAAACTTTACAGGTGATTTTTACACATGATATCTGAGAGGTACTGAGCTAGTGCACAGGAGAAAGACCAACCTTACCTAGGAACAGACAATTCATCCATGTCAACAGGAGAAAAGGTAGTGTATGTGGGCACACATGAGCCAGGTAAGGAGATATGGTAGCAGGACCTTAGGGAAGTTGCCTTGTAATGAATTGCTTTGAGTTTTCAGTGAAGGAGGAAGCAAGAACATCAGTTCCTTTTCTCTACTTTGAATTAGACTATTAGTTTCAGAGGCCCTGAGTGACTTTGTGTCATTCAGAACAGTCGTATTATTCTCTTTGTCCAGCATAACTGAGTGGGAAGTCAGCATATACTCCAAGCCCAACTCAGCTACCCCGGAGCAAAGACACAGAACTCCCCACCTTTTCTGGGCCTAATGTTCCTTAAGCTGATCTAACACTTCCTGGCCCGGCCTCAATCATGCCACTTCTTACCAAAGATAGGACTACCATTTATAGAGCATCTGACATGCTATAGGCACTTACAAATATATTCTCTCATTCAGGCTTTCTAGTAATCCTTCCATAAATACATTTATCCCTTATTTTACAGAAGAGAAAAATGGAGACTCATACATGGAGCTGTTTAGTTACCTGACCATTCACTTATCACGCCTCCCCCCAGGGTATACAGTCTCCCCAAAGTGATTTTAACACAAGCACTCTGTCTCCCACCTTCCTCTGTTTATACTACTCTTCCTGCTTAACTTGCTAGCAAGAGTCCTGTTGGTTTTTTTCTAGAGGTCACTTTGGTTTGACTGTTCTTTTAGCCAACCAACACAATTCATCTCTCGTTATTCTACCCAATTGCTACCTTCCTCCTCCTTTCCTCCTGCTCCTTCTCTGCTTCTCCCTCTTCAGCAATAATTTCTTCACCCCCTACAGTGGGTCTTTACATCTCACATGTCATGCTCCTCTCTTCCTCAAACCACCCACCACGTTCAAATGTTTTCAATTACAATAAAGTACATGCAGACAATTCCTTCTCAAGTTTTCTATTGTTTAACAAGTAATCGCAGTCTCTTTTTTCACCTTGCTTGAAGTCAAACTTTTGGGTTTTCTACCATATTTTATGTAGCCATCAGGTCTTTCCATGTATTTGACTTTTTCATATCTGCCTAAGCTGAGTTCCCCAGAAACCCACACACACCTACCACACAGCCCCCAAACTAGGAAGTGTATTGAGCATTAAAGCAATATTAAACTTTTGTGCTCCAAATCAAGGCCAAAAAAAACAAAAACCAAAAAAAACAAAAAAAACCTCCAGAGACAATACATGCCAATATACACAAGATCACCTATAAGTGATTTTTGATCAGTATTTATTTGCTTATTAGTTATTTATTATATAGGTTTATCATTAAATACTATCTTGAATAATAAGAAGACAGGCTACCATAAGAAATCTAATGAATAAATATATCAATCAATATCTTTCAGCATCCCATTAGCAATAATGCACTTTCTAGATTTTATAGTTATTGATTCACATTGAGCTTGTAAAAAGAAAAGGATGTAGTCAGGTCACATTTTCTGTGAAATTACTAGAGTTATAAGCATTTTACTATTTAATAGTGATTTAAGTTGTTTTTGTTGGTTATTTTAAACAAAAGTGTATAGGTAATTATGTATAAATAACTAAATCTAGAGATTACCTTGAATTGAAATCTAAATAAACTCATTGGTAGTTTTAAGACTGTGATCCTAAATTAACCATTTTTGTCATCTATGTCAGACACACAGTTTTCCTAAGCTTTAAGGTGTGACCTACTGAAACTAATTCATTTCTAAATTCCACATGTGGGCACATTACCATCCAGGGACTCAATCTACCATGGACAACTCACATCCAATATGTGGCAATAAACTCTATTTTCTTAAAGTCATACTTCTACTTTTATTTCCTAATTAATTCCACCATTCATCATCCAAAACCAAAACCTGAAAATTTCACAAGGTAACTAATTTCCTCTCCCTCAATTCTCACATCTACTCATTCACAAAGTACTACTGCCAATTCTACCTCAAATCTTTATGGAATCCATCCTTTAGAACTCCACTGACAGTTTCTTATTCTAGGAATTCTTATTCATCAGATCTTGCCAAAATTATGAGAAAATGTCCCTAAGTGACTTTCTTGTCTCTGATAAATTTTGCTATTCCTGCAATCCCCACCTGTCTAGCCTGTACCATAAAAATGCCAAAGTAATCATTTGAGACATAAAACTGAGGACTTCACTGCTTTGCTTAAAATTCTTAAATTACTTAAAAGATAATATCCAGACATCTTTGGGTGACTGTGAAGCCCAGGAGCTGGTCACTGTTACTATCCCCAACCTCATCTCTTGCCACTTCATCACCATTCAAACTACGCTTGTGGAACTTCTGTAACAATTGGGTTTCTTGCCCTGAATACAAGTTGCTACTTCTACATAGAGTAAGCACTCCCCCATCTGCAAACTAAAACTCAACTTCTAAAATGGAAATTATAATGATAATCATTTTAATAGAGTATGAGAGCACCAGAAACTACTTGGCTCTTTACTAATCGAAGTTATTTTTATTTCCCACAACTAATAATCATTATAATTTAAGCTTTTCTATTTTAATATGCCCCATTTAAACCTGCTCTAAAAACAACACATTATAGTTTTTATGTTGTTGATAAACATCATCTAATCATAAACTTTCATACTTGTTCTCTTTCAGTCTTTAGTGTAGTTAACTTGCATCTCTGGGAAATTGCAAAAAGCGTTCCATTTGTGTTTTACTTTTTTTTATTTTTAAAGATTTTTATTGGGGAATTGGGAGATGGGAACAGCCCTGGGGAATCGGGAGAAGGGAAACAGACAAGTTGTTGACGTATTGTTTTTCAGTCTAGTTGTGGAGGACGTTGCTTCACTGGCCCAAGTTGGCACCATCATTGCGGTCTTCCCGGGCGAGGCAGATCAGTTGCTGGCTTCTGGACAGCCGCTCACTGCGGCTGCTGGCCGCTCAAGCTGGCTGCTGGCTACACAAGGTAGCCCATGGCAACCCACTGCCACAGGGGCTGCAGCCTACACCGTCGCCAGCGACTCAGAGCAGCCCAGCTCCAGGTCGTGCTGTTGTTCAGCATTTTAGCTGTAGAGGGCAGTGTCACGGGCCCTCATATGTGGGATCCAAACAGGGGCCCTCTGGCGTCCCAAGCCAGCTCTTAGCCAACGCGCCACTCGGCCAGCCCTGTGTTTTACTTTTATTTCTTCCTTTCATTTCAATTTGCAAATAAGAGCACTGGTTTCCCTGACATTCAATCCTATTTTGTTCTAAAGGTGCTATTATTTTGTTGATGAATAGTTTCATTAATAAGTATAATCACCATCTGCCATGATGCATCTTAAATTATCCAGTAATTGTATGAATATGAGTCTTCAATTTTGGAAATTGAGCTCTTAAAAAGACACTCCTCTCCTTTAATCAAGTTAGATAGAGTTACAGGTATATTTCTCAAACAATTATATATGTAAATCCACTTTGCTTTTTTGTTATTGTTACACTGTAAGACTAATGTAAAATTTCACAGTCCTTTCCACAAATACATCATTATTTAATTCTAAATTTAATATGTAAACTATTGTTCTTTTATCATTATTCATTTCTCATATGATATTATTTTTAAAAGAAAAAATAATATTTGGTTTTCTTACACTGTGGTTAAAAAAATAAGTCAACTGAAATCCTGATATATTCTGAAGGAAAAAAAATAGCGTTTCCTAGGTAATAGATGCAAGGAAGATTAAGGAGTATCTGAATACTCACCTCAGTTTAAAGCTGGTTTTGAGACTAAAGAGAATATACATCTCTATAAATATGTATTTTTTGAATTTTATTAAAGATATTTCTTTATTTCTCTTACCAAAACTCTTTAAAAAATATGTATGGCTGAAAATTCCAATTACAAACAAATTCAGAATTCTCTTAAGGAATCAAAACAATGTTTTTTCCTTCTATAACAGATTCCTTTTCAGGTAATTTTCATTTAGTCCTATTTCCCTTCATGTGTTCTTTCTATATTTTTATTTTAAACCATGTATATTATACAAGACAATGGCCTCTGCTTAATTCCACTCGAGGTCTGAGATTTAGATGTGGGTAATTTGTAGTATTTGTAAAAGGAATATAACAAAATTACCCATAAGCCCCAAATTCAATATACACATTTGCCACCAAAACGCTAATGAACAGATCAGTGAATTTTAAAGCTGGAAGGGACACACAGGCTTCCCAAATCAGTTTGCCAGTCCTCACAGGTGAAAGCAGGGTTAACTGAGTTTGCCAAGTGCCTGAGCAACTACTGCTAAGCACTCCTTTGTAAAAGCAAAACTGGAAACGTGAAGTTTCCATAACAGAAGCTTTTCTCCAAGGCTATCTTTTCTGTCTATTCATATGTAATGTACCTAGGGCAATGTTCTCCACAGGCAGTACCTATTAATCTGTGACTATTTTTCTTTTTTTAGAGGCAACAAAGCTCATTTTAGGTTACTGGTTTTAAAAAAATGATCTCTTCCTCTCAATATCTGATCATCTTGGAAATTCTTTGCAGACTTTTGTTTTCATGCTCTATGTCCAGAGAAATCTGTAGGCATTAAGTTTGGAGTTTGAAATGTGCACTTTGGCGGACCTCCATTTAAAGGTGTATTTTTTATGAAGGAGAAAGAGCAGCTGATGATACGCACAGAAACCCTAGAGGAAAATGGACTCTGTTGATGGTAACTGACTGTATAGTGGAGCCCGAAAAGCTCAAGTTTCGCCCCCCTCCCTCCAACCTCTGCTCTGCTAATTACCAACCAAGCCCCAGCAAGAATATTTCCTTTGATGATCAAGCAAAGCGCCTGGTAAGGGAGGAAAGGAAGGGCAGGGCACTTCCCAGGAGGGTGGGGAAGAGGTTCTGTGAGCTCTTCCTGGTGATTAGAGCTGGGGAAGTTGATCTCTTTTTTTGCTGTAGATGTGGCGTGCTGCCGTCACGCCTCCCGCTGCCAGCCCAGCACTGGGATCTTAATCAGTCACTATGAAAACTCATTAGCTCCACAGCAATGATTCCTCCACTGCTGAAGCTTGGCGCTGTGCTTAGTGCCATGACAATGATCTCAAACTGGATGTCCCAAACTCTCCCATCCTTGGTAGGACTGAATACCACAAGGCTGTCGACGCCAGATACCTTAGTAAGTCACTCCGGTGGGTTTGGCCATCTTGGGACGCTAAATGCATTAAACCAGTGGGGCTTTATTTTGTAAATTGCAAAGGCTGAGGTTTTGCTTCTCTCTGTGGTAACTTTCGTCATGGATATTTTTATGACAACTTGAAAATTACACCAAAAAAAATAAATGTCTGAGAAATTACCTGTAAAAGGAAATTAACTAGATTCACTAAATTCTTAAGAATAAAAAGCTTTAAGTTAACTATATTCATCTGAGGTTTGGAAGGATTCTTAAATAAATATGTTTTGTTCCTTATTATTTTACTTCTTCTTTTAATGTCTATAAAATCCCCTTCATTTTTCCTACAGAGTATATTCTATCCAATCTAGTTGTACTATAGCAGTTTCTTTCTTGGAATTGAATTCCTGTGACTGTTTGTAATGCATTCTGAGAAACCAACCTCTTTTAAACATAAATGAATAAAAACACTCAGCAATTTAAAGACTGACAAAAAGACCTTAAGAGAGCTAAGAAACACGAAGAATAATTTACTTGATAAAATCATCTTGTATTGTTTAATTTTTTATAAAGACTTTTCCTATTACAAGTTGAAGTCCTGTAGCCTTCGCTCACCTAAAAGTAATGGCTTTTTAACCCTTCCCAAATTATAACAAAGTCTCTCATGATAGTTTGAAGCATGGTTTACTGAGCGATACTCTAAAACCTTTCAAATAAAAATGAAAACTATTGGTTTTTCAAATAGAAGTTTATAAATTCAAATAGGAAGAATGTCCTGGAGAAACAATGTCCCTGCTATCAAATCAAAGGTACAGAGACAATTAATATTTGGTGCTCTTTTTTATCTTTATCTGTTTTCACCACTGGATTACGCTAGTGGATCAAAAAAAATCAGATACTAAAAGAAAAATAACCCTTTATTTTCAAGACTTGTTTGTAGTTATTAATAATAATTAATATATCATTCAATGTGTAATTAACTTAGTAGAGTCAGGTCAAATTCATTACATAATTTGCCAGATTAACCCAGAGCTCAGAGTACCCGCACAGCATTTGTGAGGCACACTTTGACCTTCTTTTATGTTTTTCCCTCCCTTGAGTCACTCAAGAAACCTCAGTGCCTTTGTTACTGAGATTCCCCTCCTTCCACATGATTTGTGTGGCTGATGGGATGTAGATTTGTAGCCATAAAGAAAGCATGATATGTCATCAATAAACAAATACAAAACAAAGAAATTCATAGTATTTCGTAAGAACTGAGCCAAATTTTCTCAGTGCTCAAGTATCTGATGGTTTTCAACAACTTAATTGTTGAGTTAACTCTTTCAGAAAATGAACCTAAACTAAGTAATTCATAATTGAGTTATATTTCAAATTTGGTAACTTGATTCTGAAATATATACATTTTTGTGTATATAGATATTGCTTTGGTTATTTTCTATTGCCGTTGATGGAGGAGAATCAAATTTCCAAAATGATGCATGGTTCTTTTAGGGCTTCTAGCTATCTTGCAAATTTCAAGTAAATTTATTTTCTTCACTTTCTGATTGGTAGTCTGTTGGTTGAAAAACATAAAGTATTGCTATGATCTATGAATATGCTGAAACCACCAAATATTCATTCAGAGGAAAGCAAAAAGGAAGTTCAGGAAAGTTTGCTGGAATGGAGGGTGAAACCAGGTCGCAAAAGCTTTTTTTTCTTTTTTTTTGCATATTACAGAAGTGGCATACCTTACTGAAGAACAATGTCTATTATGACATTTCCCTAGCTTAATTATTCAAGGTAATTGCTCAGACTTTAGGATTCCCATGGTGAAAAATGAATGAATCTGTATTTCCTAGATTAAGCTCATAAAATGTTAATGCTGGAAAGTCTCTTAGAAACAATCCAGGCCAGTAATTTTCACACTCTTTTTGGCAGGAGTGTCTTTTTATTTTTTTTAAATTAAGTTTTATGTAAACATACTGAATAAATATTTGTTGAATGAAACTTGAAGTGGAAATCCAATATGTAAAAGAGGTTATTGGTCAGACAAATAATAAATGATGGGGAAGGCATTTACTGGGCCTCCACCATCTGCTCTCTCCCCACACAATCAACCCCTTGCTCTGGTCAAGGTACCTTCACAGAAACCTTAGAGCTCTCAAGAGCTTAGTTGGAAATGTGACTAAACTAACTCAGCTTCCTCATTTTACAAGTGGGAAGATGGACCCAAAATGTGCAACTGACTAAACAGATTCCCCCCACCTGGTTAATGGCAGAGCCAAATGTGGAAATAAGTCATGTGATTGTAGTCCTGACCAGGGGGCCCCTCACCCACATTTGCTAGTCCTTGCCCTCCTGGTCCCTGGTGCCACACTAGGTTCTCTCTGCCCTGCTCAGGGGGTTTCCCATGACCCTGGGCTGCACTTTTCTTAGATTTAAGGGTTAACAGTTCCCTTTCCAGTAGGTAGAGTGATCTGTCCAGCCCTTCCCAACCTTCTCACTCTATGTTCTCACTTTAGACAGTATGAATTCAATGAGCCTTCAATTGTGTATACACCAAAAAGGAAAGTAGGACTTAAAATTTGTTTTATGAGTGTTTGTAGGATGTGCAGATGGCAAAAAGTGCCGATTTACACAAATATGAACATAGTCTTTCTTTAGAAGGGTAGTTTTAAATTACCTGGGGAAAAAAGGAAGAAAGGGTTTAAATCATTAAATCTATTCATGGCAGGTGCCTCTGAAGTTGGCAGTGTACACTTGATTGTTTCAAAAGCTGAAAGAGTTTGTAAATTTCTAGGATATTTTTGTTAGTAAGTAGTTAAATACAGCTCCTTATTAAGGGAATAAGTTCCCTCTTCTTTTCCTTAGAATCTTGAAAAATTCCTTTATCTTCCTCTTTGGCCCTGTTTTCTTTCTATCTTGTTTTTCCTCCTAATCGATCACTGGGCCCATCAACCTTTGGAGGAGCTGGTGTCTGCAGAGGAAAGCTGCCACTTTGAGAAAGCTCAGGCTTCCTCTGACACTTCTCTCTGATGCAGTCCCTTCCCCTTGAGGCTGAGCTTCTGAGAAGTCCCCCATGCTGTGGGCGCCATACCAGGAACAGCCTGGATAAGAGCAATTGCACAGAGGACACTGCGCAGACACCAGCTGCTCTCATTCGGCCCAGCCTCTGAGGTGGGAAGAGGCCTCGAAGGGACCTGTGGGCATCAGTGATTTGTTTTGCTCGTTTTTCAAACATCTAGCTGGCTTCTGCTCTTAAATATCTACGTCAATAAGTTAGTCCGTTTTAAATACTACAAAACAAGTAGAATACCCTGGTACAAACTCTCAATACTCCATAAGTTTCTTATCTTCAACTCACTGATTTTTTAGCCCTGGATGAAGATATCTGACTTCTCTGTTTTGTAAAACTGCTTTTCTTTCCCAAGTCCTTAGGCAACGTCCATTTTGTGAAAGAGCAACTAAACAAATGAAGGACTGGGAGATGGATGAGAGAGCAGAATGGTAAATCTTGAGAGCCACAGAGACTGTGATAATTGCCTTTTTGGAGTAGAATTGTGACATGGATAAGTTTAAGTACTTGATGCAGAAGTAGGACCAAAAGGGGAAAATTGCAGAGAGAAGTTCAGATTCAGCCCTTTAGTTTCCCACCAACGGAAGGGACTGCCTATGAAGCAGAGAAATTCCTATCATGCACGGTCCAAGTGGAAACAGAGGAGAATATATAGAAGCATCATTGAACCAGTTATGAGTTCTAAGAATATATAGAAGCATCATTGAACCAGTTATGAGTTCTAAGTCTTTCCCAACTCTAAGTCATTGTGACTTCCAGAGTACAAGCAGAGGAGACCAACCAACCTAAATTGGGTGATGTCTTTGAGTTTTTATTTTTCTGTTTCTATAGTTGTTTTCCTGAGTAAGGAATATGCATTTTTTTAAAATTTCAATTCCAACTAGTTTCACAAGAAATAGGAAGGAAACTGCTATGCAGTGACAGCTTTATTAACACGTCCCCTAGAACATAACTTCTTTTAGCATGCTCTGTCAACATCTCTCTAATTCCTGTCCTCACATTTCTCCTCTTCCCACAACTAAAGCCATTAGCGTGCTAAATCACATTTCAATCTCTGAGACCAATCCTATCCTCAGACAGAAAATTTATAAGGGGTTTTCATCACTCAGATATCTCCACTCTAAATCAAATAGGTAAATTGCCTTTTTCTGCTTTATTTTCCCCTACCTTGGGCACCACTTACAGTAGCTAGATCCCTTATCCCTTTTTGCCTCAGTCTGTATGTTTATGAAGTGCCCAGAAACTCGGCATAAGACATAAGACCTAGCAATGTTCAGCCAATTGGTTTTGTTCTCTTCAATGAATCAGAATTCTGTCCCTTTGCCTGGCCCTTCACCTGGGCCCTCATGAATGACTGCAGGGCCTTCCACGTGAATATCCACTTGTGTTGCCAAGCCTTCACTGTTAACTATCCCTGTGGGGTGCCAATGGCTTCATGTTTCCATACTGTCTGGATAATGCCCTTCTCCTATTTAGAGCATTTTTAAATATTTCATGAGTTTTGTAATATTAAAAACTGCTAAATAGTTCAGTTAGTTCTTCTAATTAACACAAAAGGTTCAAAGAGAACTGCATCAGTCATCACTGTGATTAGCAATGTTTTCGATGGTTAAAAACTATAGGCACCCTCCAGGTCCAAGTACTGGGCTTCACAGTAGTTCAGAAAATGCTATCAGAGTCATCTTTGTCATATAGAGAAGAGAATTTCAGATAACTGGTGGTGCAGTGTGGTGGGTAAATTTTCTATTTCTGCAATCAGACTGTGCAAGTACCAATCCCAACTCTTCTAATTACCCACTCTATGACCTCGGAGCATGTTCCTTTGTGTCTCTAAACCTCACTTTTCTCATCTATAAAATGGGCAGAATAACATCCCCTAGTACATAGGGTTAGTGTAATATTCAAAGGCAATTACACATGTGAACTGCATAGTAATGACTAGAGCTCCATAAATGTTTGCCATTACTATTACACAAATTTTACTGACACTTGAATAATTGCTCTTATAAGTTAAAATGGGAGCAAGTCTTTTCTCGTTGGTATCCAAAACCATCTAAATATTTCCTTCCACATGAGTTCTTAGTTGGCTTTATTTCAATGCCAGTGCGGGTGCCCTGAAAGAGAGCTCTAGAGATGCTCATAAAGCTTCCTTTATTTATCACTGACCCTGAAACAGAGGTTCATATCAAAACCCACAGGACTGTCAGGCACTCATATCTTGTATTAGCTTTATTCTTTCGAGTTACCTTTTTTTCTTTCTTTTTTTTTTTTTTTGCCAGAGGTAGCTTATTATAGTTGAGATCATTCAAACTAACTCTGTAGTGGAGAAGGTCAGGGCGCTTTTCAATGATTCTTACAAGAAGACAATTGGAAGCGCAAACAAAGCTGGAGTCTTTACTTTTATTAAGCTGACACTTCAGGGGAATGCTGAAGGAACATCAAAGCCTATTCACCTTTCCTGCTTTTATCATTCCAGAAAGCAACTGACATCTTGCCCTGTCACGATAAGGTCCTCACTAGTTAGCCGAACACGTGGCAAGTGAGCATTAATATTAATGCTGCCAGGTTTAATAATCAGTGTTTGCACTGTTGTTAAAGATATTTTAATATTATAATTGGGTGGCCCCTGGTGCTTTATCCAAAAGCTAAATTTATTCTAGTGGCAAGCTTTAATTTTCTGACATATTTGAGATTTGTGTCCAATGTTAGGAGAATCTTAGCTGAAAGTACAGGACCTATGTCTAGCTATATTAGCCCCATACTGTTACTCAGCTTAAACCTTTAATTATATCATTGAAACTACTCTGCTGTCTCTATCTCCATCTATAGATGATCTCTTTGCATTTTTCTTCTGTAATACAGAAAGAATAATGCGATAATTTTAAAGATCCTATCTGACTCTAATAATGTATAATTCAGAGTACATCTTTCTATCCTAACTGGATATTCAGGCATAAATCCTAGAAGGAACGGGTGGGCGGATGACGAAAAAAAAGATAGAAATGATCATGAATCCAATGCCCCAGAAATAAAAGAGGCATGGGAGGCTTCTATGAACTATCTAAAAATGGAGTTAGAAAAAAGGAGACTAAAAAGATAGGTTTGGCACCATTTGCTTTTCATTATAGATCAACAGCAAGGACTGTGACATCTTTATGAGTTACCTGAGTTTATAATTTATAGCTTCCTCAATATTTGTTCATGATTCTAGTTGGAATGCCTATCATTACCCCCTAGTGATTATCGCTAAAGCCATTGAAAAGAAAAAGAACTGTGTTAGTTGATGGTATGTGACAAGCCAGGGCCTGAAACTGAATAAACAGGAGATTGTACCTATTCTGCTGTGAATTCCAGAGACAGAAGATCTCACAGTCTGTGGCAGGTCTGTGGAGAGAGATGTCAGCTTGGTTTAGTCCTTTTAAGAATTTGCTGCCAGCCAGCCTATAGGCAAACCAACCAGCCTAGTACCACTGGGCATTTTGCAAGATAGTGCGCTGCTGGACTCCATTCACTTCCTGTTCCTAGCCCCATCTCTGCGCCTGTCCTTAGCCCTTCTCTCATTCTTCCTTGGCCTAGCCCCTCCAGCCTGATTCATGAAATACCTTGTTTTCTAGACTAAATTCATCTCCCTCTTTTGATCATAAAAGAAACACCTCCCTCTCTGCTGCATTCCTGGAAACCATAAAAGGAAAGCTGGATAAAAACTGAAGAATAGTGGATCCCAGCTGTAGAAGCAAGCCAGAGATTAGCTAGAAAGAGGCAAATTGGTTTATCTGATATTTCCAAAGAAAACACAAATTCAGATGCAAATTGGAATGGTTTGTCTATGTAACATCTGTTAGGTAGTTTTTCAATATCCATGTGCTTGACCTTTAAAAACAATCATCTGGACATTCAGCGCCACATTGATATGGCCATAGCATTAGAATTAAAAGCAGGACTCCAGAGCTAGACTGTCCAATAAGGAGGCCACATGTGGCTATTGAGCACTTAAAATGTGGCTGGTCCAGATTGAGGTGTTCTCTAAGTGAAAATGCACACTCAAGCTCAAAGACTTACTACAAAAAAGGGGAGAACATAGAATGCAAAGTATCTCGTGTATAATTTTTATATTGACCACATGTTGAAATGAAAATATTTTTGATATATTGAGTTAAATAAATTATTAAAATTAATTTTACTTTTTCTTTCTTCCTGTTTAAAACATGGCTACTAGAAATGTTTTAATTACACATGTGGCTCTCATATCACTACTGGACAGTACTGCTCTGGAGTGTACTGCTTGGCTGCATACACAGCTCTACTACATACAAGCTGTGCGTCCTCAGGCAGGTTAATTAACGTTCTCTTCTGTGAAATGGGAATAAGAATCATTCCTGTTTTGTACCCTTGCATCAGTAAGTAGATGGACGTGACCTGTTTCCTGGAATAGGGCTTGACCTCAAGCAGACAGCGTTCTTCAGTCTAGGCAATTCCCAAAGAGAAACTCAACTGAGAGTCACACTGCCGATACTCTCAGAGCTGGGGGAAGGAATGAGTGAGTCTCTGGGCAGTGCACCACGGCTTCCACAACAACTTCTGTTTGTACAATGGAGAGGATATGCACAAAGCATAGTTCCTCTGAAAAAATATTTAGATAAAAAATGAGGGTACTTATCTTGGTTGATGATGAAATCTACTTGATAATGGCAGATAGGAAATATTCAATATCTCTTATAGCTGGATATAAACTAATTGTTGAAGTAAGACATGTGAAAGACAATTACAATACGAGACAATACACATTAAATAAATAGTATGGACAGTCCTTCAGAAGAGGTGGAAAGCATGAGGGGTGAGTAAACCAAAGGTTTATAGAGGTGGTATTACAAGAAGGAGAAACAGAATGAGTAACATAAAAAGATACGAATCAAGGAAGCATGCTTTCAGGACATACATAGACCAGTTTGGTTGGGAAGAAGTTTCCTCAAGATACAGGAGGCAAACCTAAAAACATAATAGGAGGTAGACTGCAGTAAAAATGGAATGCCACTTTAGGATTCTAGGGAGGTGGGGTGATTAGTGTGCAGAAGTAATTTGGGAGGATCAGTTTGGCAGACTATGCCAAATACTCTAACTCCTCTGGGACTCGGCATCCTTTTCAAAACAATGCAGATCTAATTATTTTTACCCTACAGTCTCATTTGATACCTTTCCAGCTTTATTAATAATTGGCCCTTCAATACATAGGAAGCTCCTTGGGATAGGGCTTTGTTTCAGAATATCACACATGAATAATAATCAGAAAAAAATATACTACTAACTACCACTTACTGTTGAAAAAGACAAGCTAACAGATTTTATATGGAAAGACTGGTCATATGTGTCTAAGAGGTTATCAGATGCTTCCAGGGTTGCATTAATATGTCCAAATATAACAAAATGCATTAGAAGGTGGTGCAGGATTAATAAATTGTTAATGATATGGAACCTAAAGGAAGAAAAAGTTTCTCCTTTTGGGCATTGATAAGGAAGGTGCAACTATCCACATAAACTGCTCTCTTTTTTAACTTTAAAGAATAAAGCACAAACTTTATCAAAAGAGATGCTTTGTTTAAAATGCTACATACTGGGGTGGCTGGTAAGCTCAGTTGGTTAGAGTGCAGTGCTCATAACACCAAGGTGGCCAGTTCGATCCCCACATGGGCCACTGAGACATGCCCTCCACAACTAGATTGAAACAACTGCTTGACTTGGAGCTCATGGGTCCTAGAAGAACACACTGCTCCCCAATTAAAAAATAAAAATGCTACATACTTACAATCTCTTTATCATATGTATTTTGACTGTGTTTTATATGTTTGCTATTGGTTTCCTCAGACTCAGATTAGTCCCAAAGAAGGGTGGCAAGTGTACAGCTCAGCACAGGATCCTGACGGACGATGCATTTGCACAGTGGTGGCACCGGAACAGAACCTGTGTTCCCGGGATGCCAAAAGCAGGCAACTTCGCCAGCTGCTAGAAAAGGTAGGTGTCCTGTGTCCCCTGTCCATGTTTTTATTGAAATCTACCATTCCTTGAAAAGAAAATATAGGAAGGCAGGGAATGCTGAGGACGGTCCTCCCAATTTTTGTCCTCCTTCTCAAACTTCTTCCTCTTCCTTGAAGGGAGCACGTCAAGCTTCCTGCTCTATTCTACTTATATGACTTTTTACTTTTCCCAACCTTGACTTCTTATGACTGACTCTATCATATATCCTAATATCCAGTCAGTGTCTCCTTAAGGAAAATAAAAGCGAGAAGTTTTATTCCAATGCCAGAAATTTAGCCTTAACTCTCAGGATCACACGAGGCTCCTTGAGCTCCTACTTTAGGATCCCATTATCCACCTTGCAAAGAAGTTAAAACAATGGCCTGCAATATGCAAGACTATCTGGACAGATGATGAATAATGCCAAGTATCATCATTCTCTAAGTCATTCCTCTGAACATTAAGCTCTTCAATTTCATTCAATAGCATTCTTTCCATATAATTTACTTAAACTGAATCCATAACAATCAAATGCAGAATGCCCTCGATTTATTCTCTTTTACAGATAAAAGTCAACTCATGAAAGGTCATTTATGTTTAGTTTGGGGAGAAAAAAAAACAATGAATGGTTCTTACAATTATTCTTATTCAGACTTTTACTCTGTTGGGCTGGGGTGGCCAGACTGTTGGAAGGATGACAACATGTTTGAATTTTAAATACCATCAGGGATAATAACATAAATTAGATAGTATGGGCTTTTAGAGGACGCCATGCTCAACAGGGCACTCTGTGCAATATCCTTTCTGTGACCAACTTCACAACTATGGCATTGAATGGGAACTTCGTACAAAAAATTAAGAGAAGCTAGAAAAATGAAAGCATTGAAGTTATTAATATAGACATTCCTAGTTTATGCAATTTCAAGCCTGGCCACAGTAACTTTCTTCTACTACCATATATGAAAATAACTTTCCTCTGTGTATATTATTTGGAAATCTACTGATGGCCTAAGACTTTAAGAAGACTTTTTTTCATGTTTCTATACAAAGATTAGTCAGTTTTTCCTTCCCCTCTCCTCAGAGCTATTGTCATATACTGGCTTTCTCTTAAGTCTCTTTTTTATAAGATCCCATCTTCCCTGTTCCTTTAATATCTGTCCTCCAGACAAGAGCAAATGTCATTTCATCAAGTTAATGACTCTAGCTAATGTGCCTCTCAACTGTTAGAAATCGTGACATATGAACTATGATTAGTGTTGAGTATTGTGTTCAATCTTGATTGTTTTTATTGCTATGAAAAAAATTTCAAATATATAGTTTAATGCCCTTTTTTTACTAGGGAAATTAATTATATTGGCAAAAAGATGTACTCTTTTAATCTAATTTTGCTTTTTTACTAAAATGTATTGCTCCTCAGATTACTGGGGGTTTTGCTCCAATCTTCTATGCAAAAATACTTTCTTCTACATCAACGGTGGTGAGAGAAACATTTTCTTAGACACCATAACCTTATTTGTGTTAGTGTTTTTCAGCATAGCATTATACACACACACACACACACACACACAGACTCAGACATATCTTCAAAACTGAGTTGAAAAAATTCAAATAAAGTCTCAATGTCAGGAAGCAGATAATACCCACTAACAGGTCCAAAGTGCAATGTATTCCAGAGCTATGATAAAACCAGGAATTAGTGAAGCATGACTAAGGCAAGAAAGTACAACTAAGGAGGTTGGTTCAAATAATCAATGAAATTTATATGACCTCCTTCAATATGCAATTTGTTTAATGTTTCAAAGAAATTTGAGAAAATCACACCTTTAAAAATTCATCAATACCTAAGTGGCAAAAAAAATTTTATTAACGAAATCAAGGCCACCACAAGTTAGATTTATCAAATTTACCATTTGGTAATATTATGCTAACAGAAGAACAGTAAATTGTGTGCCCTATTTAGAGTAGCCCAGAGGAAGTGGCACTGGTTTGCTGCTCTACCCAAAGAAAAGACATCTGATACAAACATTCCTTATTCAGACTGAGCTAGTCCCTTCCTGACTTTTCTATAGTTCCACATATATTCAAGGTACCAGATGGCAAACAGAGTTATGACCGTTATATTCACCATTAACCAAAGGACTGGTTTAATCATATAATAAGGGAATATTGTTAATAGGAATAATATTAATAACAATAGTTCCCACCTATTATATTTGTATCCACTTCATTCAATCCTCACAGCAGAACTAGTTATCTTTCTACATTTATAGAAAAGGAAAGTGGTGTTTTTGAGGTTATAAAATAACCTACCAATGAACTCAACTAGTAGATTATGGAACTATACCAGATCAGTTTTGCATTTTCTCAACACCATGCCAGCGTCGTCCAGAATGTCACCACTGGTACCCACACTCATTTAAGTGATGCTCTGTCAAAGTATTTATATCATTGAATATTGGGAAAATTGCAATTGTTTCCACAATATTTCAGGGCTTAGTATGCCCAAACTAAAATTGTTCATTTAAAAAGGAGTTTATTAGCTTTGTACGAGTAGGCTCTCTGTACTGTTCAAGGTGTTCTGCATTGTCTAGGTCAATATTTCCTAAAGTGTGATTTTTGGGATAGGATGCCAGTGACATCCTCAGCAATAGAATAATCTTATGAAACACTGTACATGATACTTCACTCTTGAAGATTTCTACCACACAGTTTAATACTAACAATTTTGCAAAGCCCTACAGCAAAGAAATCTGTGTTTATTTTTGTTAACCCCAAGGCTATCTAAACATATTGAATTTTTGGACTTTTTTTTCAACTAGCTTCCACACTAATAATGAATGAGAGTGAACATCAGAGACAAGCAGGCCAAAAGAAAGCCCATAGCAGATGGGTCTTCCTCCTGCAAGTGTAATCGCGGGGATCCAGTCTCCAGTGTCATCAGGAAACTGATTCTCAATGGGTCTCCATAACCAGCGGGAAACTAAACAGTCTTAGCTACAGCCAGCAGGAAAAACAAAAGGCAGCCCAGAGCCAAATCCTTTCCATTTAGACAGCTCTATCTCTAGCCATTACCCCAAATGCAGCTCTTATAATTATACATGATTCTGCAATCTAGGTCACAATCAAGACTCAGCAAAAATTCTCTCAGTGCTTTTTCTCACAACACAAAGTTGAAAATGAACTTGATAGGGTAAGGCATTAGCAAAATAAAAGAGAGGTTGTTTTAACTTTATCCAGATTACCTCACTTGCCCCTCATTTTCTAATTGTACAGATTCTGTCTCGGTACATAGAATTTCTAAGAGAATATCAGCCACACCAACGATGGTGTCTTCATAAACAGATGCCATATTCAAATGTGTAGATAGTTTCTTTAACACAAATGGCTTTTCTTTATTCATGCGTAGCCATAATGAAGCTGAAAATTATTTTAAAAGCATTACATTTATACAAGATGCAGTTACCATGCTTTCAATGTCTCAGTAAATTTGTGCTGCACTAAAGATTTTAAAAAATGAAGCTTTCTGAATGTAGGAGCGATAGTAAATTAATAAATATTTGGGAGTCATGTAATACTATAGCCCAGCCAAGGAAAGGAGGAGGAAACTTTCCTTAAAATATTAAAATACTAATTACCCATTACTACCATTGGAAGCCTAAGATAAGTTTACCCAATAGATATTTATTGAGCAATTATTTTGTGCCTGGTTCTGTGGAAGGCTTTGGAAGTAAAAGATTTGAATAAGACATGGCTTCTAATCTCATGGAGCTCACAGAAGGGCAGCCACTTCTAGGCCCCCACCCAACACACACATTATACAATTAGTTTTAATATAAGCTAGATTGTAATTGTATGTTCTGAAAAGACAGGACTCGTAAAGGGCAGTACTAGGAACCAACACAGTAGAAAAAGAAACAGGAAAACCTGACCTTTTCTGACAAGAAAAGTAGAGAATCTGAGGCAAGCCAAGGCGGGAGAATTTTCTTTCTGCCTTTTCTGAAAGTGCCAGTTCGAAGGCATGTTACCAACAATAATGGGGTCTTCAGAGCTGCCTGGTCCACTAAACTTTGTGACTTCACCTGATGACAAAAACTTGTCTCTAATCAAATCATCCCTTCCTTATTTATAACTCAAAAATGTTTCTATGAAATAACTTTTTACTTCTTACATAAATAATGCATGTTTATTAAAAAATAAATTGAATAACATAAAAACATATGAAACAAAGTAAAGCTCACCTAAAATCCCACCACCATTCTTTTGGTGTGCATGATTCCATGCATTCATTTATGCAAATAAAACATAATTTTATGCAGATAGATTTATACATGTTTACCAGGACCTCATTCAACAATTTATTTTGTTACTTCTCTTCATACCCACACCTCACCTCTCACCAGAAAACTAGAGTTAACAACCTAACATGTATTCTTCTAAATCTTCTGTACCTTCTCTATGTTTTGCTTATGTATTCCATTTTCTTTTATATATGTGTATGTGCATCTGTGCGTGCATGTGTGTGTGAGAGAAAGAATTTGATTTAGAATTTAAAAAATTATATATTTATATAATATTTTTATTTGCTTTTTTCACTTGCTTTTCTCGTGGAAATCCCTCCATGTTGAGCAGTGCTTCTCAAAATTTAATAAACAAAGGACTCACTTGGGGCTCTTGATAAAATGCAGGTTCAAATTCAGTAGATGTGGGGGGGGGGCCCGAAGAGTCTACATTTCCGACAAGCTCTCAGGTGGGTGCCAAAGTTGTTGCTCTGCTGACATTACTTTGAGTACCAAAGGTATGACAAATGTGTCTTATTCTTTAAAACTGTATATTCACATTCCATTTAACAGTTCTCCTATTAGTGGCTTTCATTTTGTTTTCAGAATTTTGCTGCCCCAACAATTAGAGCAGCTATTTTTTCCTCATTTCTACATGCTTTGTAGGTCACCTATTTCCTACTTCTAAATAGCCTGGGGCTCAGTGAACCTGGGATTGTGCCATAAACTTAACATGTGTTTATTACCTATCTACCTAACACTTGAGAACAGTTGCCATTTTCCAGGTCTCCTGAACAGTATGCTCTGCCAGTAAGGAGGCGTCCCGACACTACCACCACTCGTTTAGGTCAATTCAGGCTCATGCCTAGGAGTACTTCCGGTGTAGCTTGAAGTAACTATACTGGACTGAATACATTCTAGGTCTGTTTTTCACTTCATTTGCCATCCACAATGGCTAAGTATCACAGATCTTGAAGAAGTCAGATTTAGTACTGATAGAAACAACTTAACATTTAACAGATTGGGGTATTATAAGCCTACAAAATAAAAATTATATTTCTTTAAATTTACTTTTTTGATATATTAACTTCTCATTTATATTTATATTCAGTGATTGTTAATGCTAGAATGTCCATGTTATTTCCTGCCAAGGTATAATTTTCTCTCACTGAATTTTTTAAATGTTTGTCATGAAGCACTATCCTTCTGAAAATATGTCACCTGGAAATACAAATATAGATTTGATATTTCCAGTTCCTTATGTTAATATTCTTTTTGTTATTTTAGTAGTGATTGTATATACCTATAAACAGACAATAATTTACAACCAATGTTCCTGTTTAACAGGTTCAGAACATGTCCCAGTCTATTGAAGTCTTAAACTTGAGAACTCAGAGAGATTTCCAATATGTTCTAAAAATGGAAACCCAAATGAAAGGGCTGAAGGCCAAGTTTCGGCAGATTGAAGATGATCGGAAGACACTAATGACCAAGCATTTTCAAGTAGGTTTGACTTCTGCAATCTTGTCAATCCGAATGAGACACTAAGTGCAATGAACAGCCAGCATGGCACTCAGCTAGAAATAACTGTGCTAGCCCATATGTGCAAGGATAAAGACTCACCGGGGATGTCAATCATCTCTCCACTGAAACTGACCATTAGCTGGTAGCAATGCATAGACTACTTGCTATAAAAAGTCTTATCCTTCTAGAGCTAGGTGGAGTTTCTGGATAGATTTACAGATACTTGAGTATCTGTGACAAGGGGAAATCTAAAGGAAAATTAATAATTAAATTTATCAAAGTTTTTCCTGATGATTTTATGCCCTGCCAATATGAGAAATATAGAGAATATAAATTAAAAGAGACAATAATACCATTATTAATGGCACATAGAAAGAAGGTTGTTTCATAAGTTGATATAAATAGTCTTTTTTTAAGCTTTAAGTTGTCCATTGGAATTATTTAGAAACACTGAAAATAGAAAAATGGCCTTTTTAAGCACACTATGTAGACTTTTATTAACTATGTATGGCAGTGTCATAGATTAAAATAAAATGCGACTATGATAATGCCATCTGAACAGCTATTAAAAAGAAACAGTCTGCCTTGCAAAGACATAGCACATAGTTAATAAAACACACTGTTGTTTTATAAACATAATAATCTCAGTTTTCCCTGCCAGTTAGGAAGTGAGATTCACTGCTGATGGTGAGGGGGTGGGTCTGAATTCAAGCTCTTGGTCAAGCATTAGAAGTGCTTTTCATACATAATTGTGATGGGCAGGGAACTAGTCGGGGACATGCAACAGGATCTCTGCATAGCATGTTTTAATATGGCAGAAATTTTCATGGTTTTGTAATTTTCTTCAGCAGGGCTCAGGAACCTGAGTAGATAGGTATAGAAAACAGTCTTGCACTGAACCAGTTTTTACAGTTTTCCCTAGAAGGACAAGAGGGCAAGAAAGCTGAGCGTATTAACAAGAGAAAGTTAAGCTGAAAAAGACGTTAAGCAAAGCCAGGAGGCTGAAAAATTAGAACAAATTAGAGCAAGGCCTAGAAAAATATGATAAATTTAAAGATTATTGGAAATAAGCGAATGAGCAAACTGGAAGAATAGAGAATGTATGGGGAAATGGTAAACAGAGGAGACTATAAGGCTGAAGAGCAAATGAATTGATTTTAACCAATATTTATTGAGCACTTACTATGTGCACGGCAGTGTTGGGCCCTCTGCAGGTTACATATTCTCTCTTCTGTAAAAGACAACTAACAAACAGGCAGGTGGTAAAATTGATAGTGAATAGAGGCATAAACATTACTTAACAGTACAAAGGGAAGAGCAATTAATTGTGCTTAATTTTGTTTTAGAGAAGATCAGGGAAAGAGTTACAGACTTGGCAATATTCAAAAAAAGCCATGTTGGACTAGTGCCCCCACACTCCCTGCCCCTCAAAAAAATATTAAATCACAGGAGAGATCAAGAAAACCAAAAGGTTTTCCATGTCCATTTTCAATGGTCAGGGTTAGTGTGTAGACTATCGTGCAATAACGTGAGCCCAATGCTGAGGTCATCAACATAGTAAGAAATGGTAAGGTGGCAGTTACAGTGCCTACGGAGCATTCCCAGGAGGGAAGAGGAACAGAAGGACAGGAGCTCAGGGTGTCTGATGCAGAGTGAAATCATCCAAGCTCAGATGGACCATGCAGAACTCTGTGATGCCAAGGGACAGCTGAAGGGTGCCAGGGCTGGCAGGGCAGGGGACACATGATGACGCGTGTGCATATAAGGGAACTCTTGGAAGAAGACAGGAAACAAAGAAACAGAAAGATACAAAGCTGAGAGAAACACAAGAAAATAATTTGCCTATTCTGTGAGTTTGTGTAGCAGCATCCAGGCTGCCAACAAGAAACTTTAATTTTCAGGCAGCACCATGTGACCATTATTTTCCCAGTTCATGTAATCCAAGTAGATATTGAAGTTATATGTCAAAATCCAAATAGCAATAATGATAACATTTTTTCTAAAGAATTACACACATTCAACACATAGTTCTAAGTACTTTAAATTTATTATATATTAACTAATTTAATCGTCATAACAATCTTATCAGGTAAGCACTATTTTTACCCCTATTATTCAGATGAAGAAAATGATGCACAATGAAGTTGAAGAATTTGTCCAGGGTCATGTATCTAATATGTATGTATATCCAGCTCCCAAGTTAAGCCTCCTATTAGCAATGCTACACTGCCTCTCCAAGTAGACTACAGCCCTCTGAATTAAATTTAAGAATAATAATTAAATGATCAATATATGTTTGTTGAATTTAGTTATTCACTGAGTCCTCCTACCATAAGTCAGATTTGCTCTCGGTGCTGAGGTGCCATATTTGAGAGGAAGAAGTGGAACATCCCAAAAGTAAGTTTAACATCGAAGAATACTTTTAAATTGTAAAAAACTCCTCCTCTGATATACCATTTTCAACTTATCAAAAACACTAAGAAGGTTCTTTCTTCTACATTCTTTAAGATGAAAAGGTTGTTCTGGTTATCACACTTGAGCCTATCATTCTTCTATGAAAAGATCATGGTGGGGCAAGATGGTCTAGCTACAACCTTTGCTGTGAGAGCAACATGATAGAAAGTGAAATTCTAGACAGGATTAGTAAACACAGATCTCGGCTATTCTATTTTAACCTTTTAAGAATTTGATATGGACATTGGTTGAACTTTCTATTGCTCTCTCACAAGTGTCCAGAGTTTCAAAATTGACTGCCAATAATCAAACTACAAATATCTGAAAAGATCCAAATGTATAAATACCTTTTTTTTTTCAGTTCAGGGGGGAAATGCCACCAAAATTGTGACACTATATTGTTCTCTTTTTCAATATTCCCATAGTAAAATGCAAAATTCTATATCGTAACAGTTGCTATAATATGCAGCAAATGGCACCAACAGAACTAAATCTTCCCATTAAAATCCTAATAAAGCAATTGTGCCTTCCTTTAGGGATGCCACAAGATGCTCAAACTAATAAGTTTATTTCAAATGAGACACCAAAATGAGCAAAGCTCTGCAGGTCTGCCTTTTGACTGCAACATTTATGACTCTTTCTCATTATTAAGACTCTGTCCCCTCCCACTCAACATGGACAACAGACAAAATTAAAGAATTCCAAGCATACAGAACAAGTGGAAATTTCCCCACAAGAAACATAAGCCCATAAATCAGGGCACCAATGGGAGCTCCTGCTATTTTAATGCATTTATAGTAATAACATCTTCTCAATGTAATTTTAAAATGCAATTTTCAGCTCCTTAAATTAGTTCGTGTACGGCACAGTTTCTGACAACACCTATGGATTATTCTCAAGTGATCGTAACAGTGACAGCTCTTTCCACAAACAAGATCATCTGGAATAGACTCACAACTGAATCAAGCTCATGAAATATTTTCATTGACCACCGCCACCAAGTTAAAGGGAAAGAAGAAAACGTGACACGTCTAGAAAGTGAAGCTGTAGGTGTGGCTCTGTTCCATGATGCTAGGAGGGAGGGATACTGTGGCAAAATATGCTTCTTATTCTCTAGATAAAAGTCAACATTTCAATTTCAAACAACTGTGGAACTGGGCAACTCTCTTTTGTTACATATACTATGAGCACCTCTACCCCAGAAAGAGTGAATTCGCTGAAAGTGTAAGCAACTCTGCCTTACGTAAAGAGCTCCAAATTATTTAGGTGAAGGCAAATGGAGTCACACTGTGGGTGATAATTAAAAATGGTAAACAGCATCATACATTCCTTTGAGCTTGGAGAAGCTTTCCATGACTTCTTATACCTGCTGAGCTTACCTTCCTAACGGTGCTGTGCTAGGGTGGATCTTGAAAATAGCGAAGAGGACCTGGTCATAAGGGAAGGACAGCGTGGTGGGAGGCCATGACTGGAAAAAGTCCAGTAGGCAAAAGCTGTTCCAGGATCCAAAATTTCCTGTAAGGACCCTTATAATCATAGATAGCCAGTAAATGAGTAATTTGATTTAATTAAATAGGCATAGAATATTTGACCTATTTCTCACAACACATAATTATAACATGGACCCTGCTTCTATTTCCTAACGAAATAATGGATTGTTCACTTTATAAAATGCTACCAGAACGTGAGATAATACATAAACCCATACTTGCTACCATAGGAAGTTTTTTTAAATTATGGTTAGGATCAATTTGTTTCATAGAAAAGCATGTAACCATTTAAAGAAAGAGTTCTTATATTGAAAAGCTGAGATAAGTGGATTTACTACTAATGATCATGTGGCTACTTAACATTCTCACAAAATACCAAATTTCAACCAAAATCAATACGGAATTTTGAACCTGTTTTAATAATCTCCTTTAAGTATCATAATAAGAAGAACATAGCTGCTTGATCTGTTTAAATGACTCTCAGGAACAATTGGCGGCTTTTCACAGGAGCTGAAAGAGAAGATGGACGAACTCCTGCCCTTGATCCCTGTGCTGGAACAGTACAAAACAGATGCCAAGTTAATCACCCAATTCAAGGAGGAAATCCGGAATCTGTCTGCCGTGCTCACTGGGATTCAGGAGGAAATCGGTGCCTATGATTACGAGGAACTCCATCAAAGGGTGCTGAGCTTGGAGACCAGACTTCGGGACTGCATGAAAAAGCTAAGTGAGTAGAACAATTGCATTTGTTTCAGTTGTGTTTTTAAAGAGTTTCAATGAAAAAGTTCATTCTTATATTTTGCCACTAGTCAGAATTGCCTAATTATATGGAAAACAGTGCCTAATTATATGGAAAAATGGTCTGATTAACATTTTACTTAGTATTTCCACTTCCTGGGAATTGGTACAGATAAGACCAAATTATCTCTGTGAACCCTTTGAACTCCATGCCTACTATTATCTCATTGGTAAGGGCCCAAGTATGAAAATATCAGAATACATGGGCTCAAAAAATACATGTTAATCAACATCAGGACTATTAACAGGAAATGCAGAAAAAAACATCTCAGGAGTTCAGTGTTCCACAGGGGTCTAAAATCTAGTTGCTATGCTGCTCAGATCTAGAGTGGGACATTGGGTAATTATGGTAACAGCAATACAGTAACAGGAGCAAGAAGGCTCATTCATCAGTGACATCTTCACTCTTCACAAGAGCACACACAACCAATTAGCAGGCAGTAGAAATGGATTGGGGAAAGAAAATAAAATTGCAACAATGATGAATGCATTTCCAGGCACCTTTTCAGTGGATTAGCTTTTAGGGAAAATGTCACAGTGTACATCACATGAATTTTAAGATATTAAAAGACCAACTGGCCTCATTGTCTGCAAGGTCTAAGTTACTCCCACATAGTAAAGAAGATGCTGAAGGAGTCACAAATTGAGACTACCAGGGCACCATTCAGCTTATTTCTACTAGAGAATTCAAGTTTGGGAGAAAACAGAAACTAGAACAAAATGCTTCAACAGCAATGCACCCTAGTGGCCTGAATGAGATACAGTGATGTTTTTTTCCTAAGTGCTTAGTTTTCTCTTATGAGAGACTGAATAAAGTCCCCTGTGCTTAATTAAATCATATCATATTCCTAGACATGCAAAATATAATTATATGCATGTGAGAATTTGACTGAAAAGGCACGATTAAAGCTCTCGCACACCCCCTGAGCTCACCAATAGATATTTAATAAAGGTTATAATTAGGCTTTCCAGTTTTCCCGTTCTCTACCCCCAAGTGCCTCAGCTTAGTTCTACCTTAGGGTAATGGTTTGGTGCCATCTAGTGAGGTACAGGTTGCATCTTTCCATTAACACAAACAGTTTTGAGGCTTCATGTTTTTTTTTTTTTTTTTTTTTTTTTTTTTTTTTTTTTTTTTTTTTT